CCTTCACTACGCTTTCCTAGTGTCTCCGAAATATTCACTGCCAACCTCTGGATTCAATACTCGAGGACGACCGCCATGAAAATGTCTAACAACTGCATCAATTCAAAATGTTTTTAATGAAAGTACTTTAAAGTAATTGAAGATGTTAGACTGTTACATCTAAACATGATGCTGTTTTTGCTCCATTCTAATTGAACGCTTTTTTCTGATTGACCAACTGAGTATAGCTGCTAGTAAATATATAAAACCAGGACGTCTACTCAGTACTGTGCAACCTCTAAATGTAACGTTTATGGTGATCAAAATTAGTGTCGGTTTAAATAATAATAATAATAATAATAATAATAATAATAATAATGCTTCATATAAACACATGTATATTTAGCACAAACTTTCATCTTTTTAAGCAAGGGCACACTTACGAGCAAATTTTTCAAGGGGATACATTTAAATGTTATGAAATAAAACCATTGATTTAAGCAAAAATAAACGCACAAATATGAACTTAATTTATTTGTCTATATTTTTGAGATGAGGTATTTTAATTATTTACATTATTTACATTGTTCGGATTGTTGTCTTCATCTTTATTGCCATATCGACGATGTTTCAGCCGTTGTACGCTCCGGACTTCTTCAGGATCTGTCTATATTTCTGGGATGAGGTATTGTAATTATTTAGATTATTTCCATTGTTCGGACTGTTGTCCTCATCTTCCAAGCACCTGAAGAAGGTTGGAGCGTACAATGGCCGAAATGTCATGAATATGACACTATAGATGAGGACCACAGTCCGAATAGTGTAAATAACGTAAAGAACTTATGTTTTTCAATGTATCTATTCAACTATTTGTGCAGCTTATTTCGTGTAGAGACGGTCTATTGAACGCTAATCTACAATAATCATCGCTACAAATCTATCCTTGTTTTATGTGCGAGCCAGTTAATTTTAGTAGTGTCTTCGTGTTTGTCATTTTTGTATTACTATTGAAATAACTAGTTGATACCGTAAGTTCTATTCTATTCTACTAGTTTCTTTTCTCGTAATTTTTGCCTGTAGAACTCTCCACCTACGCTCTCCAAAAGTGTAGATGAAAAGTTAATCGCCATTTTCTCTTTTCCTGAATCCTGTTCTTTTATTGTAACTTCTCATTCTCTTTCATTATCAGTAAGCCCTTTGAGTCTTAGTGGCGTTATTGCCTTGATTGGGTGAAACGTTTTAAAAATAAATTATAGCTGAAAAAATCTTAGGGATATTCTATTCATATTTCTATATAAAGAACTATCTTTAACTTCCTCTGGAATTATGGTGATATGTCCTGGAAAGGGATATATTTGAACGAAGTAGCTAAGTGGTTTTGGCTACTATAACCAAGTAGAATACGGTAGCAGTAATCAACTGGTACGCGTCGTAGTCGCAGGTAAGAAGTGTAGAACAATGGCGTAGTGTAATGGGCGTCGTTATAGATTAGCTCTCAGACTAAGGCTCTTCTGACTCTGCTACACGTCCGTCGGTATTTATGACGGACACCAGCCAATCATATTCCATTGAGGGGGTACACAGGGGTACGCATACTCCATTATATCATAGGGGAAAATGCATATGCCACTCTGCATCTCTTAACTTTTATAAGCAAGAAATGCAAGAAAATAAACTATTACTATCAGTCATTTTTGTTAATTTTAATCATCTCACACTAAGCAAGGTAATAAAGCCACTAGGACACAAAGCGTTACTGGGAGTAAAAGAGAAGAAGACATTAGTGAGGAAAAGAACAATAAAAGTGCAAGTTTCAGGATGATAGAAGATGGTGATTGGTGTTGCATTTAAATTTTTGAAGATTGTAGTTGCCAGGGAAGCAAGAAATCAGAAAGGGAGTTCCACATGTAAGAAGTGCGAGAAAAGAAACTATTAGGATAGATCTTAGTTACATCTAGCTTTTCCAGCAGTCAACTCGTATAACGTAGTTACCAATCTTAAATTCATGCAGTCTCGCTACCAAGGAGGAAAACTCATGAAAACAATTCACATGAAAATATTTAGAGAAAAGACAGAGATAAGGCAAGTCATTATGACTGAAGCCGACATGCCAGGTCAGGACACATAATATTACAAACCCTTTGGATTTTGTTAAGAATCCTGTGAAATTGGGCACTTCGATCTTAGCTTCTCCGTGTCCTATATTGTGTTTTTTTCAACTGCATCATCTCTGCAAATGATAAATTACATGGTCGTCACAAGATAAGCAATGAATTCATTGGTAAGTATTCTGACTTGAAACTATAATGGCTAATCTGGGAGCGTGATAGCAAAGTACTAATGAATTCAGAAATTCCCAGGAGAATCTACTAAGTAAGAGATATTCCTAGCTTGGTGTTGCTTAACTTCAGTGATCATATGAGAACTGGTGTTTTGATATGTTATGACTATAAGCCTTGTACGACTATGATCAACCTTGCAGTCTGTTATCAGTAAAGAAAATTTCCCTTTACTTAATCATAGACAAATCTTTCAACAATATCTAAGTATAACCTACGATAGTTAAAAAAAATTAACACTTTTCTGATGAACTGAACAAATCTGACCAGTCAATTTTTCATTTTTTTATTTTAACCATTTCACCCAAAACAAGGCAATAAAGCCACTAAGACACAAGGTGTTACTGGGAGAGAAAGAGAATGAGAAGACTTTAATGAGGAAAAGGACAATAAAATTGCATGTTTCAGGATGACAGAAGATGATGATGGGTGTTGCATTTAAATTGTAGTTGTCAGGGAAGCAAGAAATCAAAAAGGGAGTTCGACAGGTGAGAAGTGCGAGAAAATAAACTATTAGAATAGATCTTAGTTACATCTAGCTATTCCAGCAGTCTAATGGTGTAACGTAGTTACCAATTTTAAATTCAAGCAGATGAGGTACTAAGTAAGAAATCCCATCAAAAGAATTAACATGAAAATATTTAGAGAAAAAACAGAGATAAGGCATGTCATGACATTGTGAAGATGACTGAAGTCGAAATACCAGGTCAGGACTGATAATATCACAAACACTTTGGATTTTGTCAAGAATCTTGAAACTTATATTTTTATATCTGGACACTAGGTTTGATATGGTAACAATATTCAATACTTCAATTCAGGATTGATTGTATTACAGATCCTTAAATTATTTTAACATATCGACTACCATATATTTGCAACATGACATTTCAGTTTACGTGTTTCATTTGTGCTTGCAGTGCCAAATTTTGGAAACGCTCCATGCTTGTCTCTATATAAAACCAATGGCTGTGACTTTCTCCGGCATTTTGGAAAAATATATACGGCACTCAGCTTCTCTTAACTTTTACCTGAATGCTTTATAAATACATATTTTATAAATATATGCTTCATTAATATATACTTCATAAATGTATATAGTAGGTATTAAAAAATAAAGCTCAAGTAAAAAATATTGATTTAACTGCAATAATTGCAGAATTAATATTGTCACCAATATAAGGTGATATGGTTCTAATTATGAAATAAATTTAAGTCATATATATAGCCCATAATAAGGCTTCCTTATTTGTCATGAGACATCTGATTGTTAGAAAATAATGTATGTACATAAGCTTATGTGCTAAAATATTCTTTATAAATATATGCATTATAAAATATATTTTATAAATATATGCTTTATAAATATATAGTTTATAAATATATAGTTTATAAATATATAGTTTATAAATATATAGTTTATGAATATACTTTATAAATATATGCTTTATAAATATATACTTTATCAATATATACTTTATAAATATATGCTTTATAAATATATACTTTATCAATATATACTTTATAAATATATGCTTTATAAATATATACTTTATAAATATATACTTTATAAATATATGCATTATAAAAATATACTTTATAAATATATGCTTTATAATTATATACTTTATAAATATATACTTTATAAATATATGCATTATAAAATATACTTTATAAATATATGCTTTATAAATATATACTTTATCAATATATGCATTATAAAAATATATTTTATAAATATATGCTTTATAAATATATACTTTATAAATATATGTATTATAAAAATACACTTTATAAATATATGCTTTATAAATATATACTTTATAAATATATACTTTATAAATATATGCATATAAAATATATGCTTTATAAATATATACTTTATAAATATATGCATTATAAAAAATATGCTTTATAAATATCTGCTTTATAAATATATACTTTATAAATATATGCTTTATAAATATATGCTTTACAAATATATACTTTATAAATATATGCATTATAAAAATATGCTTTATAAATATATGCTTTATAAATATATACTTTATAAATATATACTTTATAAATATATGCTTTATAAATATATGCATTATAAAAATATACTTTATAAATATATACTTCTGAGCTTTAAAAAAAAGCATTGCCGTACATTTTCGCAACAAAAAAATATCAACAATAAAAACTTCCATTAATGCCTAACATATTCTTTTACAAAATATTTTTAAATAAACAAAGAGACCCGACATGACTTTATACAGATTTGTGATTGGCAGGAAACGTTTTAATAGTTTCATTGTCGTCTGATTTTGGTGTGTTTCATTATATAATCCGTAGTGAAAAAAATGTACTGAGGGATTAACAAGCCTTCTATCAATTATTCCTCCAACTTTTTTTATGAATTACCTGTTTATATAAATTGCAGTTTGATTGAATCAGTGGCACAAATGAGTGATCTGTTAGTGATAACTTCAACTTCTCTCGCAGACGATAAAGTGTGTTTTTCTTTTCTTTTTTTAATGCTTTTCAATGAAAAGAGCAAATGTCAAGGGAGGTAATAAATCTGTCCTATTATATCATTGTTAATATATTTTTGGATTTAAATCCCCAAAGAACTTCAATGATTAATGAAAACAGGTGAAATAGTCTTCATTTTATTTATTTTATTTTCAGTGATTTCAGTATGCAAAGGTAACGCCAAATGAAAACAAATTCTGTCTACGGGGATTCTACATAAATGTAAAATACTGTAATGCATTTATCTATTCTTCTATCTATCTATCTATCTATCTTTTTTGTTTTTCTGTCTATATCATGTGCTACTTATCTCTATCTGTATCTCACTCTCACTCTGATATTTATTTCTTTTTTGTCCGATCTATCTATCTATCTATCTATCTATCTATCTATCTATCTATCTATCTATTTCGGCCTGTTCATTATCTATATATCTACTATCTATGTATCTGTCATCAGTCACTATCTATTTCGGCCTGTTCATTATCTATCTATCTATCTATCTATCTATCTATCTATCTATCATCAGTCACTATCTATTTCGGCTTGTTCATTATCTATCTATCTATCTATCTATCTATCTATCTATCTATCTATCTATCTACTAACTATCTATCTATCTGTCATCAGGCACTATCTATTTCGGCCTGTTCATTATCTATCTATCTATCTACTATCTATCTGTCATCAGCCACTATCTATTTCGGCCTGTTCATTATCTATCTATCTATCTACTATCTATCTATCTATCATCAGTCACTATCTATTTCGGCTTGTTCATTATCTATCTATCTATCTATCTATCTATCTATCTATCTATCTGTCATCAGCCACTATCTATTTCGGCCTGTTCATTATCTATCTATCTATCTACTATCTATCTGCCATCAGCCACTATCTATTTCGGCCTGTTCATTATCTATCTATCTATCTACGATCTATCTATCTGTCATCAGCCACTATCTATTTCGGCCTGTTCATTATCTATCTATCTATCTACTATCTATCTATCTGTCATCAGCCACTATCTATTTCGGCCTGTTCATTATCTATCTATCTATCTATCTATCTATCTATCTATCTATCTATCTATCTATCTATCTGTCATCAGCCACTATCTATTTCGGCCTGTTCATTATCTATCTATCTATCTACTATCTATCTGTCATCAGCCACTATCTATTTCGGCCTGTTCATTATCTATCTATCTATCTACTATCTATCTATCTGTCATCAGCCACTATCTATTTCGGCCTGTTCATTATCTATCTATCTATCTATCTATCTATCTATCTATCTATCTATCATCAGTCACTATCTATTTCGGCTTGTTCATTATCTATCTATCTATCTATCTATCTATCTACTAACTATCTATCTATCTGTCATCAGGCACTATCTATTTCGGCCTGTTCATTATCTATCTATCTACTATCTACTAACTATCTATCTATCTGTCATCAGGCACTATCTATTTCGGCCTGTTCATTATCTATCTATCTATCTATCTACTATCTATCTGTCATCAGCCACTATCTATTTCGGCCTGTTCATTATCTATCTATCTATCTACTATCTATCTATCTGTCATCAGCCACTATCTATTTCGGCCTGTTCATTATCTATCTATCTATCTACTATCTATCTATCTGTCATCAGCCACTATCTATTTCGGCCTGTTCATTATCTATCTATCTATCTATCTACTATCTATCTATCTATCTATCTATCTATCTATCTATCTCTCATCAGCCACTATCTATTTCGGCCTGTTCATTATCTATCTATCTATCTATCTATCTATCTATCTATCTGTCATCAGCCACTATCTATTTCGGCCTGTTCATTATCTATCTATCTACTATCTATCTGTCATCAGCCACTATCTATTTCGGCCTGTTCATTATCTATCTATCTATCTACTATCTATCTATCTGTCATCAGCCACTATCTATTTCGGCCTGTTCATTATCTATCTATCTATCTATCTACTAACTATCTATCTATCTGTCATCAGGCACTATCTATTTCGGCCTGTTCATTATCTATCTATCTATCTATCTACTATCTATCTGTCATCAGCCACTATCTATTTCGGCCTGTTCATTATCTATTCATCTATCTACTATCTATCTATCTGTCATCAGCCACCATCTATTTCTGGCCTGTTCATTATCTATCTATCTATCTATCTATCTATCTATCTATCTGTCATCAGCCACTATCTATTTCGGCCTGTTCATTATCTATCTATCTATCTACTATCTATCTGTCATCAGCCACTATCTATTTCGGCCTGTTCATTATCTATCTATCTATCTACTATCTATCTATCTGTCATCAGCCACTATCTATTTCGGCCTGTTAATTATCTATCTATCTATCTATCTATCTATCTATCATCAGTCACTATCTATTTCGGCTTGTTCATTATCTATCTATCTATCTATCTATCTATCTATCTACTAACTATCTATCTATCTGTCATCAGGCACTATCTATTTCGGCCTGTTCATTATCTATCTATCTACTATCTACTAACTATCTATCTATCTATCTGTCATCAGGCACTATCTATTTCGGCCTGTTCATTATCTATCTATCTATCTATCTACTATCTATCTGTCATCAGCCACTATCTATTTCGGCCTGTTCATTATCTATCTATCTATCTACTATCTATCTATCTGTCATCAGCCACTATCTATTTCGGCCTGTTCATATCCATCTATCTATCTATCTATCTATCTATCTATCTATCTATCTATCTGTCATCAGCCACTATCTATTTCGGCCTGTTCATTATCTATCTATCTATCTACTATCTATCTGCCATCAGCCACTATCTATTTCGGCCTGTTCATTATCTATCTATCTATCTACGATCTATCTATCTGTCATCAGCCACTATCTATTTCGGCCTGTTCATTATCTATCTATCTATCTATCTACTATCTATCTATCTATCTATCTATCTATCTATCTATCTATCTGTCATCAGCCACTATCTATTTCGGCCTGTTCATTATCTATCTATCTATCTATCTATCTATCTATCTATCCATCTATCTATCTATCTGTCATCAGCCACTATCTATTTCGGCCTGTACATTATCCATCTATCTATCTACTATCTATCTGTCATCAGCCACTATCTATTTCTGGCCTGTTCATTATCTATCCATCCATCTACTATCTATCTATCTGTCATCAGCCACTATCTATTTCGGCCTGTTCATTATCTATCTATCTATCTATCTATCTATCTACTATCTATCTATCTGTCATCAGCCACTATCTATTTCGGCCTGTTCATATCTATCTATCTATCTATCTATCTATCTATCATCTATCTATCTCAATCGCTTCTTATCTCTCTTATTATTTCTGTATCACGCTCTCCCTCTGGTATCTATCTCATTTGTTCCTTACCTATCTATCTATTCATATCAGTCAATATCTATCTATCTATCTATCTATCTATCTATCTATCTATCTATCTATCTATCTATCTATCTATCCCAGCCTGTTCATTATTTATCTATCTATCTATCTAACTATCTATCTATCCAAGTCTCTTAATATATCTTAGAAACTTCATCTATCTATCTATCTATCTATCTATCTATCTATCTATCTATCTATCTCAGCCTGTTCATTACCTATCTATCTATCAAAATTTTTAAGCCACTCTTATTAATTTTTTAAGATGAGCCAAAAAATAGTTGTTTTGTACCTTAAATAAGAGGAAATTGTTATAAATGGTAAAAAAAAATGTGAGACATGATTTTTTATTAGAAATTTTTTTATGATAAAAGGAAAAAAATCATTTTATGATTAAATTTTACTCCTTTTCCCTTGGTTATTGCAGAAACAAATATTTGCTATCTCGTTGCAAAGGTTTCTCAAACTATAAGTTTGATAACTGATCCCATTATTTTTTCAATGAATCTAAGAACCCGTTTCAATTTTTTTTAACACGTTTATGAAATTCATCTCTGGTGATTCTGGGAGTGATTTAAACATTTGAACTGTTGATACCAAATCAGTCTGGTTTCGATTCCGGCTTGACGCAATCGGATGTCTAGTCACACTAATGAGCTGTGAAACAGCGAAACAGTTTGTCTGTAGATAGCAATACACGATGTGTGATCCAAAATTTATTGGGGCTGATGTTATAAAAAGAAAACTACAACACATAGCAATTCGGCATTTAATCTCCTTCGAAATATTTCCCTTCTGACGTCACACACTTTACCAGCGTCGATTCCATTGATAGAAGCATTACTGAAATTTCTTCTTTGGGCTGAAAGGCAGCTGCTTTTCTTGATATCCTCGAAATCTTGTTACATTCAAATGGAATGTGATATTTGAAACGGGAGAAAGGGACAAAAACAGGAGAATATTGTGGCCGGCGGACCTGGAATATGCTGTGCTTGGCCAAAAACTGCAGCACAAGCTGTGTTTTACTTAGGGAAAGTCTGTGGCATGGTAAGACGACCACATTCTACACACATTCCATCCAAGCACGGCTATAAACAATGTAATTTAACGATAACATTATAACTTAGTGTGCATGAGCGACAGGTTTAAGGCCAGTCTGGGTTATGCGTTTTCACTCAGCATACTTTAGCTCAGTTCTGATAGCAATAGTCCGGATACTTTATATATATATATATATATATATATATATATATATATATATATATATATATATAATGTATTAATTAAGCAGCAACAATTCATACAAACAAGTTTGACTGAATTACAAATTTTGTTGTATTCATGCTGCTTCTATATAATCATGTCTGTTTGTATATATATATATATATATATATATATATATATATATATATATATATATATATATATATATCAGGTCATCCCATAAGTTCTATCCGAATTTCGAACAGAGAAAACAAGTGACTAAATGTTACATTTAATTACAGATTCAATCAACAATGTATTTTCCCTGATTATCTATGACTTCCTTTCATCTATTAACAAGCTTACTAATTCCATTACTGTAAAATTCTTTTGGCTTTGATTCGAAGAACTCACAAACGTTAGTTTTAACCTCTTCCTGTGTTACAAAGGCTGTTTCTTCCAAATGATTCTGTAAGCTACGAAACAAATGGTAGTCTGAAGGAGCAAGATTGGGAGAA